GGTTCGCAGGCCAGCGCTCAATCCACTGAGCTACACCAGCCTGGGCTTCTCCTTCAATTTAAAATGATATCCTTGCAAGTCAAGGTAGCTTTGGTTGTAGCTTTGGTATCCTTGCTTTTCATCACTTACATTCCACACCACTTCTTTCAGTCCTGAAATGTTTCTGTTAAGTAATCAGGTGATACTCAAGTTGGTGCTGTCTTGTAGGTAACTACCTGCTTTTCACTTGTGGGTTTTAGGATTTTCCCTTTGTCTTTAATCTTTGTCATTTTAATTATGATGTGTCTCAGTTACGCCTCTTTGGATCCAACTTGTTCGGGACTTTCTGACCCTTCTGAACTTACTATGTCTTTTTCTTTCAGCAGATTATGGAAGTTTTCAGTCATTATTTCTTCAAACAGGTTCTTGATCCCTTGCTCCCTTACTTCTTCTGGTATTCGCCTGATGTGGATGTTGTTATGCTTCATAATGTCCAAAATGTTTCTTAAGCTCTCCTCATTTTTTAATTTTCTTTTTTTTTTTCCTGCTCTGTGTAGGTGTTTCTTATATCCTGTTTTCCAAATCACTGATTTGATCCTCAGCTTTATCTAACCTACTGGTTATTTCTTCCAGTGTATTCTTTATTTTAGATACTGCATTCTTTATTCCTGACTGGCTTCTTTTTTTCCTATGGTTTCTATGTCTTTTTATTGCTGTTTAGTATCCTTATAAGTATTACTCTAAACTCTATTTGATACATTACTTACCTTCATTTCATCTATTTCTTCTTCTGGAGAATTCTCTTGCTTTTTCATATGGGAGTCTTTGTTGTGTCTTCCTGTTTTGACTGCTTCTTTGTTGTTCTGCCTTAACTGCTCAGCAGTTGCTGAACTGATCATTTATTAAATTTGTCAAGCTGTAATTAACAGCCAGGCTTAAGCTCTAGAGGGTTGGGTATAATAATTCCTGTAGGTGGGGCTATTGCTTACCCTCAGTCAGATGCTAGTCATAGAGGAATACTCTGCCTGAGAATAGTGGCCTCTGCAGTATGGAAAATGACTTAGCACAGAGATTCTGGCAGCTGTTCCTTAAGTTCTCTCTCCAAAGCCACCAATTCCAGAATCTCAAGTGTCTCCATTCCACTCTGCTTTCCCTCTGCCAGAGCCCAGGCATACAAGTGGAATTTTTGTGTGACCCTTTAACAGGTTCTGTGTGTCTCCAGCTCTCTCTCCCTGGCAGATAGAAATCCTGGTGCTTTTCACAGCTGGCTGTTATCTGGGTTTCATTCTGGCTCTGGTGCAATAGGCTGGGGAGTCCAGTTTGTGATTTAGACCCTACACTTGTCAGAGGGATCCCCCTGGCCACTGAAATATTCCTGAGGAACTCCACTGCCTCCCTTGGGAGCCCAGCCAGCGCTCTCACACTTCCTCTGCACTCCCTACCTGTCTCGTTGTAGCGATGTGGTTTCTTCTGTCTGGTCATTGTTATAAGGCTTCTCTGCAGCTAGTGTTCAGTTAGTTATTTAGGATGATTTCTCTACAATTCAGTTGTTATTCCAGAATGGTCCTGGTAGGAGTTTAGTGTAGCTTCCACTTACTCCTCTCCTGTCTTGATCTCCCTGATCAGTCTTTTAATTCAGTGATATTTTTCATATATCCTGTCAACTATCAAACATGTACAGTTGAGATTTTAATTTTGCTTATTTGCTTTATCATTTCCAGGAGTTCTTTTTTTTTTTTAAGACTCTGTAATTTATTTTATTTTATAATGTGAAATGTGGTATTTTCATGTATTTTGTTTCATTTTTAATCATTTCAAGGCTACTTGTTGTATTTTATTTCTAATAATTTTATTATGTGAGATAAACATTGGGATTTTCCTGCTTGTTCTTATTCATGGTGCTTCATTTTCTTTGTGCCTAATTATCTTTGACTATATATTTATTATTGTTCTTGAATAATTATTTGTGTAGACTCACCCATTGCCTAAGATATAGGTGTCTTTTTCCAGGTGTTATTTTTTGCTTTTACTTTTGCCAAGTGTGTGTGCACTCTGAATGGGAAAGATACTCCTGTTTCTCCTTTACTTTCATGCTACTGTCACACTCACAACTCCCTATGTCACTTCTGACACTAAATGTAATGGTTTTCTACACCAAGTAATGTTCCAATGCCATTTGGGTGTCCTACAATTCAAGTTAATTCTGACACTAAATGGAGTTAGTGCAGGCCCCACAGGTTAAGGCAGTCATAAGACTCCCCTGCTTTAGATGTCAGCCACAAGCCTTGGTTGTCAGCTGTGCTTCTGACTGACTGGTTATAAATTGGGGGTTGCCATGACTCCCTCCTTGGATTCGATTAATTTGTTAGTGTCTCAAAGACCTCTGGAAAACAGTTTACTTACTAAGTTACGAGTTTATTACAAAGGATATTAAAGAATTTGAATGAACAGACAGAATTAAAGATATGTTGGGTGAAATCTAGAAGGACCCTGAGTGCAGGAGGGTTTGTCCTCATGGAGCTGTATATACCATCTTCCTAACACATAGATGTATTCAGCCACCTGGAAGCTCTCCAAGCTTTGTACTTTGGCAGTCTTTATGGAGATTTCATTATATAGGCATGATTAACTAAATAGCTAGTCCTTTTCTTCTCCTCAGAGTGGGTATAGGGCTGAGAGTTGCAAGCTTGAACCATGGCTTTATCTTTCTGGTGACCCGTCGCCATCCCGAAGCTATTTAGAAACCCACCAAGAGTTTTTCATATTCAGAACAAAAGACATTCATATCATCCTGGAAATTCCAAGGGATTTAGGAGCTTTCTTTCATGAACTGGGGTCAGAGACCCAGTGTTAGAACAAAACGTTTTAAGAGCTCTGTGCCAGGAATTGGGGGCAGAGATCACTATATATTTACTATTATTTTACTTAAACTTGGTTGAAAGATTATTCTCTGACCTACCCAAGCCACATGTTTGCAAATCTGTGCAGAGGCCCTAGTCAACCCCAAACTTCTCAAGGATAGTTTTTTTCTTTTCAATTTCCCCCAGACCCCCTCTCTTCTACTCCATTTTCCCCTTCTGTTCTGCCATAATCCAAGAGGATCATGCCTGAATGCACCTGATGTTGAGATAGAGATTAGAGGCAGATTTACGTAGTTCTGGGTCATCCCTGCAGTATGTGTAGTGGCCCTTTAAGTCCCCAGCTTATTCTGGGAAGTGTCTCCAATAGAACTTCACTTTGAATGGGCTCTAGGCTTGATTTTATCTCTTGTTGATGCCAGTTAACTAGAACTAATTTATGCTAGTGTTGGCAAATGTTCCTAGTGGTAGTCATAGCTTTAGCCTTCAGTTTACTCTCAGAATTTAGCTTAGACATTTTTATAATATTTTAAGTGCTTTTAAGGTGTTTTTTCATATTTTGATGTAACATTTTTAGTAATATTCTATAAGAAAGTTACTTTGAATAATTTAGTCTGCTATTATCAGAAAACTTTGGAAATCTCTTGTTATATTCTAGTTTGTAATTTCCTTTTTATGAGACAGCTGAATCTAAATGGCTGTCTAAATCTATATATCAAGTTTTGCATTTTTAATTATTATATTTTTTACTTTAATTTAAAAAAAGATTTTAGATTTTTATTTTTTAGAGAGGGAGAGGGAAGAAGAAACAGAGGGAAAGAAACACCAATGTATGGTTGTTTCTTGTGTGTCCCCTACTGGAGACTTGGTCTGCAACCCAGGCATGCACCCTGACTGGGATTTGAACCAGCAGCCCCTAACTTTGTAGTCTGGCACTCAGTCCTTGGAACCACACCATACATGGCTATATTTTTTACTTTAAGAAGCTGTATTTGTTTTTTTTTCTTCAAGTCTACCTAATCATTTTGTTGTTTTTTGTTCCTTTGTTATATTTTCAGTATCATCCTTTTATTTCTATGATCATTAACATATTTTGTATTCTGTATCCGATTATTCCAGTATCTGAGGTCTTTGTAGTGTTCAGGTTGAATTATGCTTCCTGATATTTGGCAAGCTTTTCTTCTTGGTGTTTTTATGTCTTATATGTTTTGTGAATTTTTTTTAAAAAAGCCATGGACTCATATTAATTGGAACTCTCTGAAGTCTGGTAAATTAAGGTATGTTTTTCTAGGGAGTATTTGCACTTGTGTTTTATGGATTTTTAAAGCACTGGCACACCAAGATAATTTTTGAGGTTTTTTTTGTTTGTTTGTTTGTTTTTTGCCACCCAGGTACTATGAATTCTCTAAACTCATCTGAAAGCCCTTCCTGGTCAAACATTATCTGGAAAGACTTTTCTTCCTTTACATTTATTTTTTTAAGGATTTTACTTATTTATTTTTAGAGAGAGGGGAAGGGAGAGACAAAGAGATGAAGAGAAACATCAGTGTGTGAGAGATACGCTGATTGGTTGCCTCCTGCATGCCCCTAACTAGAGATCTGGCCCACAATCCAGGCATGTGCCCTGACTGGGAATCAAACTGGCGACCTTTCAGTTCACAGGCTGGCGCTCAATCCACTGAGCCACACTAGCCAGGGCCTTCCCTAACATTTAAATCCAGGTGTTAAACTTGCAAGTTTCCTGTTTCTTTGCATATGGTGGCCTTTCCTGGTTTTCTCTTTTACTGGTCATGTGACCCTTTGGGCTTCCTTTCTTTTTTTGTGTGGGTGATCTCCAGTATGTTTCCTTGTGCTGCATTGTCCCCAGTTTTCATCTCTTGTCCCTATCCACTTGCAAAACCAAAGTTGTCTGTGTTATGCATTAGCAGATACCAGAGGCACCTACGATTAGGACCCACTTCTTTCTTTAGATTTGATCATTATTTTACTTCTCTAACCTTAGGTTATTTTATTTTCCTACTGCTTCCAGCATACATTGAAAAGGCTTTCTAAACCTTTATCCAACATCCTTAAGGATTTTGTCCTGAGGGGCTTTTCAGGATATCTCTTCTGCCCAGTTGCCCTAATATTTATCAAATGTAATTTTTAATGTTTCTTTTATAGGATTCAGTTTAGCTGCATTTAAAAGAAACAAGCGGAAACTAGAGCTGGCAGAGAGGGTGGAAACAGATTTCATTCAACTAAAGAAAAGAAGACAATCAAGTGAAAAGGTCAGGAGGTATTTGAAATATTAATCATTAATGTAACATAATGATATTTTTAATTTACACTTAGATGTATAAGCTTTAAAATAGTATGATCCAGTAGAAATATAATGCATGCCACATACATACTTTAAAGTTTTCCAGTAATTACATTTAAAAAGTAAAAAGAAATAGGTGAAAATTTTAATAATTTATTTAAACCAGTGAATTCAAAATATTACTTAAAAACATAACCAATGAAAAAATGATTAGTTAGCTATTAAACTTTCTTTTTTGTATTGTCTTTTAAGCCAGTGTATTTTATTCTTCCAGCGCACCTTAATAATGACACTGAATTTTCTTTGGAAATAATTTGGTCTGTATTTGTATCGCATAAAAATAACAGTTTAAAAAGTAATTTACTTTTTAAATAACAAGTTATTTCAATAATTGAATTGACTATGTTCTAAAATTCAAATTAATTAAAATTTAATAAAATTAAAAATTCAGTATCCTATTTGCACTCACCTCATTTCAAGTGTTCAGTAGCTATATGTGGTTGATGGCTACCGATCCAGGTCTTGCAGCTTTAGATAGTGACTCTTCACATGGCTGTTCAGAGCGTAGAGTATGTTATAAGGAAATGTATATACTGCATTCATGTACTTTTTTTATACATTGTAATTACAAATATTTGTTTCTCATTGTTATACATTTTTTGTGTGTTTCACCCATTAATGTGTCATCATGAATTCATGTGTGGCATTTCTTAGGTGTTTGGGGGATAGAAAGAAGTTGAAAACCACAACATTGTTGCTTGGTCTCAGGCTTGTGGGTTCATTAGCACACAATTCATGATGGTTATCTCACATCACTGTCACTTGATGTGCTTTGACATCTTATTGATACTGATTCATGCCTTCTATCATAGTTTTATATGGTTTACTTATATATAAATGCATAATAAGTCATTTTTCATAGTGACACATATTTTTCCAGTGTGTTGCCACATTGGAGAATTAGTAAAAAATTTGGTCCAAATGTTCTAATTTTTCTGCCAGAGAAAAGTAGGAATTTAGTGGTAAAATTAATATTTTATAAGTGGGTCTTGGTAAGAGTAGATAATAGTGTGGTTCTGTTTCTGGCTTTTTGTATCCTGTGTGATGTCTGAGAAAATTTGTTCTTTTAAAACATCTATGATAAAATTTACATATGGTGAGCAATTTAATCATTTCTATAAATGTATACACCCATGTAACACCTACGCCTATTAAGGTGTAGAACATTATGGTTCCTTTGTACTTTTTCCCAGCCAGTCATAACCTCCTTACTTCTATTCTTTCCTCTTCCTTCAATTCATACTTCACATAGCAGCCCAAAAGAACTTTGGAAGATGTGAATGAGACAGCAGCATTGCATCTCTGCTTTTAACTTCTTGATGGCTCTCTATTATGATGTGATACAGAGCAACTGAGAGTTGGAAAAAAGTCTCAAAGGAAGAGTCCTTCCCCTAGAATGATCAATGGAGACCTCTCTGAGGGCATATAACATTTGAGGTGACATCTGAAAAAGAAGTGAGTTTATGCAGAGTCAGTGGGATAGTGTTCTAGATAGAATGAACTGCATGTGCCGTGGCCCTGGTAGGGATTTGGCATAGTAAAGGAAAGGGGAAGAAGGTCAGTGTGCCTAAAGAATAGTGGGCAAGGTGAGAATGGTGTGAAAGGAAGCTGGAGAGGTAGGTAGGTGCTAACTCCTTTAAGACCTGGTAGATCATGGCAAGGCAGATATCATCTAGGAGATAATGACAACTTAGACTGTGGGTGTTGGAGATGGAGAGAGATGAACGTATCTAGGAGGCATTTTGAGAGTTCCTGGAAAGACAAGAATTAATACTTTAGATGTTAGTAAGGAAGAGAGGAATTAAAGCTTTTTAGCTTTAGTAATTGACTGTTACCATTTAGTGGTATGAGGAGACCTGGAGAAGGTATGGCTTCATGATGATAGAGGTGGGAAGTGCAAAATCAAGAACTTTCTTAGCCCATATCCCTTTAACGTACTTGGAGTACCAGTGCTTTCCATTTTCACTGTTATATATGTTACCTAATATTAACAGTATCTTAATAGGCCATCTTTTAGCATGCCATGTTCATTGACTCCTTTTAGTTGAATTTCATGCTAATTATTTTTATTTTACATTTATTATTATTATTTTTTATTTAATTGTTGTTCAAGTATGGCTTCTGTCTCTTATTCCCATCCCAGCGCAACTCCCCACCTCTCTCCCATTTCCACCGCCCTCATGCTAATTATTTTTATCATTATGATTACATAATTCATTAAATGTCATATACTCTAATCAATATTGAGTTTAAAATAGTTATCTATTTAAAAACTAAGAGTTGTTTGTTGAAGACTAATTTATAAAAGTAGAGTTGGTTTATAAAAAATTGCTATGGATTAAGTATCAGCAAGCCAGGTGTAAAAGATTGAAAAAAGTCTTAAAAATCTAGAGGCATTCTGCATTCAGGGTACATGTTAGTGTTTTTATGTGCTTGTTCTTTGTTAGATAAACTGAAACTTGAAATCATAGGACAATTCAGTGTGTTGTAGATTATATAAGAAAGATGATATGGAACATTTTTTTGTGGGCCCACATTCAAAGGAAAGGCTTTGGTCTCATATGAAAAGATTGGCTAACAAATGAATCTTTGTGTTTTAAATAAAAGAAAATGTTTAAGATATGTGTCCTTCTTTTTTTTTGATTCCCAGAGAATTTTCAACTTTTGAAAATTTCGACCAGCCACTCATATTTGTTAAACAGGACTTCCCATAAAAAGCTTGATATGACAAGTAGAAAGATTAACTGAAGTTTTTTACATGGGTCTGAAGCTAATGGGTCAGGAGGGAGATTCATATTTGGAAATTATTGGCAACAAAAGGAATAAATACATGTGGCTGAATGAGCTCACTTAGTGAGAGTAGATGGAGGTCTGAAAACTAAACCTCAGGCCAGTTCAACAGGTTGAAGTTGGGAGGGGAAACCAGCAAAGGAAAAAGAAGAGACAGCCAGTGAGGCAAGTGGTACAAGCAGGAGAGTAGTGTCCACTAGGAAGTCAAGAAGGGAGTAAGTATTTCAGTCAGTCGTCATCTGGTTCAAGTGCTGCTGAGAAAACAGTGAGAGGACAGAGAACTGGCCATTGAATTTAGCACCTGGATACTGTGGACTTGGATAAGGACAGTTTCTCTGACATAGTGATTATAAACCAGTAGGTTGATGAGGAAGAATAAGGGTAGAGATGATTCTTTTGAGAAATTTTGACATGGAGTGGTGAGAGAGAGAGGGGGGCAGAAGGAGTCGAGATACCAGACTATTGTTAATTAAGTCTATGAATTTAGTGAGTAATTTAACATATGGAGTTTTAGTTTCTTACTTTTGAATGCAAATAGTGATATTCTGCTCTCTAGCAGGGCTGTTGCAAGGAACAAAGGTGATAGTGGATGTTTAGAGCTTAGTGGCTGTCATTGACTTAGACACCATAGTCTTTGCTTTTGTAGCCTTTATTTTTAAAGTCACTCAGCCTAAAAGAAAACTGCTGCCTAGTGATTTACCCTGGGTGGAATCTTGTAATGGAGAAAGGGAGGGTGACAAGGGAAGTAGGGAGAGGTGGGTGGAAAGTTGAATTCAGGCATGATTCAAATGGAATATTTTAGATATCTTAAGTGAAGAAAAAATATTTTTAATATCCAGAATATATAAACTGTAATGTGTACAAAACTATATGTGTGACATTGGCCTACAAAAATGAATAGGATCTACCCTCTTGCCTTTAGGGAATGATGCTAGTCAGAGGCTTTGTTTTGTAGGTGTATATATAACCTTGGTAGGCCTAGGAATAAAGATAATAAAACACACTCCCAGAAGAAAAAGATGACCAGATAATGAACCAATTGGGCAGAAAATTACACTTTTTAAGAGGAAGCGTAGTAATTTTTAGAAATATGACAGCAAAAGGACAAAGAGCTATTTTCTAAACAGCCTGTATTTAGCTTATTTCTCCCTGTCCTGTCTGTGTAGTTTCAGCATAGTTTTGGCAGCATTGACTAAGGCCTGGTGCTCCTGTTTGTTGTGGCTACATAAAAGAAGCTGTGAGTTGGTTATGTAAATATAATAAAAAGAACACAGAGTTTGGTAACTTCCTTAATGTTCACATTTTCTGTTAGTTGAAAGAGATATCTATTGTCTTGAAAGGAGGAAAGGGTAGACTAAGTCAATATTTTAAAGCTTGAAGATAAAGTAGATAAATTCAGAAATTTTTGTTGCATTGATATGTCTTATTCTTTGAAAAAGTAATTGCATGACATCATAATAGTAGTAGAAATCAAGATTAATGCAAGAAAAATATTTCATCAGGTGTCTAACTTAATATGTTAGAATGCTTTTGTTTTTCTTAGTCTTAGACTTTGACATTGACATTTGACTCAATTTAAAATAAGAATGGTTAATCCAGCTATGGCTGGTGTGGCTCAGTTGGTAGGAACTTCCATCACAGGTTTGATTCCCAATAAGGATGCATGCCTAGGTTGCCAGTTGACTCTTGGTTGGGGTACATATGAAAGGCAAACAGATCGATGTTTCTCTCTCACACTGATATTTCTCTCCCTCTCCTAAAATTCTAGATGGCATATCTATATTCAAGGAGAGAAGGAGAGAGTGGAAGATGGAGGTGGGGCGATTAGTGCCAGATATATCTGTCATTTTTTATCTGGAATGCAAGTCTTTCATAATCTCCCTCAAGAGGCTTCTTCCTACTTATTTTTTCAGGGAGTGGACAGTGAAGCAGGGGCACAATTTTGTCATGTGTCAGATGGGTATTTCTGGCTGCAAGAGAGTCTAGGAAATTAAGTGGGTTAAATACTATATCTTGTAGGTCATGGCTTGCTATTGGATACATTGTCTTCCCGAACAAAATAGTGATTTTGTTGTCAAAGGGGGAGGAGAGAAATTATTAGGAATGTAATTTGTAGTG